TATATACTTTCATAATATCAAATAAGTTTTGTATTTTTTAAATTAGAAATAGTGATTTGATTGAAATATTAGGGGTTGCCTTTTGTCGGGTATTCCCGTGTACGCTAAGTTTTCACGCAAGAATGAATTCTCGTATTACTGATAATTCCTTGTTTATTTTCATATTTGTTACTTGATTTTTCTTTGTTTTGTTGTATTTAGACGATTTTTATTTATAGAAAATGAAATAATGGATGAATATAGTATTTTTTTGCACAGAAATTCCTTCAGAAGAAGAAAAGCCAATACATAAATTTCCCTACACTGATATTCGATAAAATCTTTAAAATTATCTGATGAGTTTATCTCCGTTTTATTGGACAGTTATCAGATCCAGAAAAACAATAAAGTTGTACGTCTTGCCTCGACGTATGTAGGTGTGAAAGCTTTTCGCAACTAGAGAAAGTCGCTCGTTACTCTCGAACCGAAAAGACCTACGGTGAAATTGAGTGTCCTCGAATCATCTGGGAATACAATCATCACATGGGTGGTGTTGACCTGATGAATGGTCTAATGGATCGGTACCACATTGGTTTGAAGACCAACAGTGCCTCTTTGAAATTATTCTATCATATGCTGGATATGTCGTTGACAAATGCCCATCTTCTTTATTGACACGTTCATGCAGGTCGACCAGATTATCCTGATTGGATGACTTTCAGAACCGAAGTTGCTCAGTCGTTAATGATCAGTCAGGCACTTCCAGGCAGAAAACCAGTTGGTCAGCCATCTCAGGTCTCTAAAAAAGCAGCTAAACAATCATCTGGTGTTCGTCGCACGTATGTCATTCTAAAGGATGCTCGATTGGATGACATTGGTCATCGTCCAGATCAATTAGACCGTAGTTGCAAATGAACGTGAAAGTTACATGGCTAAAACCCAGGTTTACTACATGAAGTGCAAAGTAAATTTCTGATACGGAATAGATTACATAAACAAATTGAATAGTAACGGTTAGTCCAGTAAATGAAGGAGGAAAAAAAGGCAAAGTTGGACTTAATTACGCCCTATTTTCATCTTCCGGTTTCAAGTAGCTTTTGGTACCTCATTAAACACGAGACAAAGTTTGCGTGGAAAACGCGTGCGATGGCGGAGAAAATGGCCCCAAAAGATCAGAAAAATAGGTTTTCAGCAAATATCTCCTAAAATATGGCGGTTAGAGATTTTCGGTTCAGATAAAAATTAAAGTTCAGTTAATTTTCTACAAAAATGGTCCTTATGATTTTTTTCGCAACATTAATATTTTCTGCAAAAAAATCGGGTTGAAAAACCGGAAATTTTGAGACTCGTGAAATATGCAAGTTTTGTACAAAATTTGAGCTGGGGGTGTTGGAAATCCATTATTTTCATTGTTTTGGATTGTGGAAACCAATTGTAGATGGCGCCACCACATTTTATAGATTGGGAAAATCCTCAGTGCCATAAATGAGAAACCCTGTAACCAGACACTTTTGAAGGATATTTATGTTTCCGAGGGTCTTGTTTTCCTCGCAGATGAGGCCTCCAAGATATACTTTTTAGGAAAACAGGCTATAAGATTAATTACAGCAGGATGGACCCCACCAATTGGCCTGAAACTAACAACAATCAGCTTTGCACATGTGGCAAAATACTGAAGTTCATTAGGTTTTTGGTAAGGAAAACTGGAAATGCCTCAAGAGTGAAGAATATTTACCCATGATACTCAGCAACAATTTCTTGCAGATTCTCCGCAAATTATTGCAAATTTTTTTGCAACCAGACTGATTGAGGTTTTTGGAATAAAGAGTTATAAATGTTCTTCATGTTTCATTTCTTATAGAAAAATATATTTTTATTTATTTATATATTTATCAACGGGAGAACCCAATATAATGATACAAGAATAATATATTATAGACTAAATTATTATATAGAAAATTTTTAACGAGAGTACAAGAGATTCACGGGTTAGTTGTCCGTGAATTGATGAAAAAAGTATATAAAAATACATTGCAATTATGACATAAATCTGTTCGTCACCAGTCTTCATCTGATTCTTGGTCATCAACGTCACCCTCGCCAACAACTTCTTCTGAGTCTAGAGTTTCCTCTAATTCTACCTCTTGGGATAACGTATTATCGCTGTCTTTATAATTCGAACACTGGCGTGACTCACACGAACCACAAATAGATGAGCAAGGTAGCCCTGCTTTCTTGCATGAACATGTTCCCTTACATTCTTTCTTACATTGACAAAATATCTTTAAGATTTCGGGAAACGCAGGCTCGTTAATGGTTTGGACCGGCATGAGTATATCCTCTACACGTTTCCATCCCCATTTTTCTAGTGACAGTTCGTTTCCGAGCCACTGTTGCACTTGCAGAAATACCCGATAAAGGTGCTGCCTTGCAGCTTCAGGTGTGGGGGGTAAGGTTGAAAGTTTGAGCGCAGTTGAGTTTCTGTCTCTGGTGAATCGTTTGAAGATCTCGTATCTAATCTTTGTCAGGGTTTGTCCATCATCATCACCGTACATCGACGCAATGACAGTTTGCCCGTCCTGAAATACGGTCTCGTGGGGAAGATTATCGTTTTTAAAACTTTCAATGACCGCTTTCAGTTCTTTGTTCTTAGCTACTTTTCCCTCTAAATTGTCGACTATTGACTTCTTCTCTTTCTCGAAAAAAGCAGAAGTTGTATCGCTTCCCGAAATAGCATGGAGAAATAAAATATTGTCTCTAACGAAGGGTCGTGCATCCAAGCTCTTGGAGGAAAACATTTGCTGGGGGTTTTTTCCCTTTCCAGGCTTCAAGAAATAAATTGTTTGATCTTTTGGGGTCAGGGCTGTTATCAGGACAAGGATGTCAATATCCTCTGCCACTACTACAACTGGCAGGCCGTTGACAGCATATTTCCCCAACGCCGTATGTACAATCAACGAGTCTGCATCGTCTACTGCTTGTCTAACCGAAATGCCATTCTCTTCCAGAACACCCTTCAAATACCGAATGAAGCGAATTTTATTGTTACAATTGGACAAAAACTTGTCCTTTGGAAATGGTAAAGGCATGTTAGGCTCGAACCTTACTTCAGGGCATGTCATGTTCTTTGCACGCCGTAAACGTTCCGACCCTTTTATACTATTGCGATTGCATTCATAGCCGTCGAAAACCACTATGACTTGCCCGGAATAATTATCCCTTAAATGTTTTAGCAATCTGGCTGAAATTTCATGAAATAATTCCTTTCCCGTCCAGGGTACCCGATGTATCAATATCCCCCCGTCGACAACGTGAATACATTCAGTCTTATCAATATTCGCCGTTTTTTCTGAGAATATCTTTATCAGAGCGGATTTAGCGGTTTTTCGTAACATCCCATCATCAATTTTAACGAAAAACGTCAATATTTGTTCAATATTCTTCACTTTTATGATTTTTCTTTCTATAATTAACAATAATATTTATCAAAATAATGACAGAAAACAAACACACTTATGCCTCCAAGCGTAGTCGCATGGTTTGTAGCAGACGACACGAGCGCCACATAGAGCGCACACACGACGAACGACGGGAGGAACGAAAGTAACAAATTATAGCGTGTACATTTAGATACACTGGTTTTTTCCCGGGGTATCAAAGCTATGACTTATATACATCGATGGAAAGGTGGGAATTCCCCCGTTACACTAGTTAAGGTGTTAAAATGTTAGAAATAAAGAACAGGGAGAAAAAAAACCACCAAAAAAAAAGTGCGTTTTTTCCTTGAGCCCGCGTTTTCCAATTTTATCAAAAATTGGACGACTTGGACAAAAAAAGTAATTGCACAATCAAAAAGTAGACGTTCTTAGCTTTCGAATGATGTATCTTAGAGACCAATCCGATCATGTATTAATTTTTAATTGATGGTTGTACACAAAATTTCCCCGCGCTCCAAAAACAGCAAAAATTTGGGATTCAATAAACAAAAATTAAATGAAAATTCCAAAAAATTAGGGTATACAAATTTCACGGATGACAAAGGACCTTATGAGGACCCATATTCAAGAAAATTTTGAGGAAATTAGTGCAATACAAAAAAAATAGAAACAAATTCCTGGCGAGGTCAAAATTGACCGGGAGCAGAAAGTTTGACCCGTGTTCCGACATGGCCAAAAGAGTCAAGCGTGACTCAAGTCACAGGGTATGATAGCAGCAGAATTCCTATTTCACATGAACTTTGAATCATGAGAAAATATGCATTTTTAACAAAGTTATTGAATAATTTGTCCCCCCGCTGATGTGTAAATACACGAACTGTGCTCTCCGGCATACAACACAGAAGCTCATTATTCAAGGCGCGCTTGGTGCCGTTTTTCTCGAAACCGGGCAAATGTTCGAGAAAAATCATAAGGACCATTTTTGTAGAAAATTAACTGAACTTCAATTTTTATCTGAACCAAAAATCTCTAACTGCCATATTTTAGGAGATATTGGCTTAAAACCTATATTTCTGGTCTTTTGGGGCCATTTTCTCGGCCATCGCACGCGTTTTCCACGCAAACTTTGTCCCATGTTTAATGAGGTACCAAAAGCTACTTCCAACCGGAAGATGAAAATAGGGCGTAATTAAGTCCAACTTTATCCCTTTATTTATTGGACTAGGTCCTAAGTGCAATTTTAAAGCTAACAGTAGAAACAAAAAAAAGATCAAAACTGATAGGTGAAAAGGTAGTATAAATAATAATTTTTTTATAAAAAAAATCTCGGAAAACAAACCAGTAGCAACAATTTTTGCAGCACAACCTGCAATCATAAACTTAACACCATTTCAAATATCCTTTAGAATTTTAAAATATGCATATTGCATTAGGGAGACTGAATGGGAGAAAACACAGGATAATAATGTAAAGAGCAATACCAAGAATTAAATAGGAAAAAGTAGTTTATGGAGATACCAAATAAATATTAATACATGGAAAATAAAGGAAAGGTTCCAAAAGTAAAATATGGAAAGTCATAAGTTTTAATTACAGGTTATTTATTCATTATATTTTTAAGAATTATTATATAAATACAACATCATTTGGACAACCAATTGGCCTATCATGATGTTTATCCAAATCATCATCATCAACATGTTCACTTGGACTAGAATCTGTGTCAAAAGGATGATGATGATCATCATCACAATCATCATCATCATCTTCATCATCATCATCATCCATAATTTGTAATGATTTTAATTTATCTAACAAATCTTTTCGATCTTCTTCTTCTGTAGTGTTCGGTTCCTCTGTTTCCTCTTTTTGTTTTCGTTTCTTGTCCATATATCTTAGAAAAGTGCGCCGTCTCCTTTCTGCCAAACTACTTAAAATTGCTTTAAGTTCTAAATCCAACTCAAACTAAAAGATAAAAATCCTAAATTATTAATATATGGGAAAATAAAATCTACAAATTCATAAATATAAAATAATTATCACAAAAAGATCCACTAAATTATTGACAGTGTTAACAATCTGCAACTTTTGCACTGTAATGCAGTCGGATAACATTAAAAACAATAAAAATATTTCGGTGTAGGCGGCGAACGTGCCCTTTTGAATATAGATACTATACAGCAGAGCTGGGACGAATCCTCGAAAAATGGATTCGAATCACGAATCCGAATCACGAGATGTGATTCGAATCACGGATCCAATGTTCGAATCCTTTTTCAAAAAAAAAAAAAAAAGATTCGAATCAAGTGATTCGAATCCTTTTTTTCGGATCACGGATACAAATCACTGTCAGTGTTATACTGTGGTATTAATTATATTTGCTTTCGAATCTAATACTGTTTTATATCTCGATATTCTGTAAAATGAGTTTTGAACCGTAAATAAATAAAAACATTTAAAACTTGAAGCTGAAAAACGAAGCTGGCTGTCACATTTACCATATAGGCGATTACCTAAGTGACGCGCTCTACTGACTACATACTCGTATGAGTATAAAAATTGTTTAAACTTTACTTAAGTTTCCTTGTAAATATAAAAAACTCTAGTTGATTGCCGTTGTTTATAGATTTTTCACAAGAATCACTAATTTTTAATTATGTTGTTAGAAGTTAAAAGAATTAACTTCAAAATTATTGTTTTTAAATGATTTAGGACCCTTTATAACATCTTGTATAGCCACTTCATAAAACACGTGTTAACATGGTTTTATAACGTTTTATTAAATATCTCGTAAACAATGTTTGAAATGTAATTAATTAAGGAACAAAATAAAGAATGTCTTTAAAGGGCATAAGGCCTATCACTTCATCGCGTTCGGCTGGTCGAAAGTCAAGTCCCCGCTCTCTCCTGGTCCTGGACACTGAAACGGGTAGACGTGGTATTGTCGACCCCAGGGGCGGCGATATCCTAATTCACTGACTCTAACAGACACTCCAACGGGCAGACGTGGTGCCGTCGACCCCAGTGGCGGCGATATCCTAATTCGCTGACTCTAACAATATTTTATATTAATAACTAAAACTCATTTCAAATAATAAAAAAAATAGTCAACTTGACATTAAGTAATGAATTGTAATTGATAGAAAACATAGAATGGATATAATTATATATTATATTCGTTCAATAGACTAATATCGCCCACATATTTATTTTGTATATCGTGCAAAAATTAGAAAAATAAATAATATACCTACATGGGGATGTGGATGCAGAATTTGTTTCCACTTACCTGTATTGAGGATCTATATCAGATTATTTGTTAATTCTGTAATCGTGCACAACGCCAAACACATCGGTTTTCTATTCAGTCTCAGTCTGTTTTAGTTTTTAGTTTACAATTCGCGACAAGTCAAAGCTTGAGTCGGCCGTTCGCGCGCGTAGTTTGGTCTCTAAAAGGATCCGAGACTGATATTGATGATTCGAATACGAATCCTTTAGGATTTTCTCTGCGAATCCGGATCACGGATCCTTTTTTTCTAAAGTATTCGAATCCCGCTCTCGGATCCTCAAATTCGAATCCTTCCCAGCTCTGCTATACAGGGTGTTCCATTCGTACGTCACTGCTCAATAAATCAATTTGTTATACACATAAATAAGTTTCAAATAAAAGTTAGATGTATTTGCTATATTTTTAGTTTTAGACATTGTAATGAAGTCAATTTTTCCTCAATCAGTTTATTTTCATTTTTCATTTTTAATAAATATTAAACGCGATTGAGCTGTTGGTCCTGATCTTAGACAGATGCAGATTGCCGATCGACATCGATGCGCGGTAGTACCGCCGATGGTGGGGTCTCTGGTAGTGGAAGGGTTCTCGACGACTGAACGAGTCCGAGATTGAATTAAAATTTTTAGTTCATAATACACCAATTTACCGAACAGTTGCTAGTAGACTTGCTCTTACACCGTGATATTGAATAGGCGAATAATTAGATTACTCCGATACGATTCCGATACAATCAAAACCGAAATTAATTTCTAGCCGCGATCTTGACGATAGGTAAATTGTTGTCATTGTTTTTATAATTTTTTTTCTCGCTCGAGACTTTAAGCCGTGCTATTGGAAACCGATTTAATTTGATTTATTTTTAATTAACAATATTCCGTGTTGAGTTAAGAACTGAAATTTGTTTTGATTAAGAAATACTTTAATTTATTCTTGTTAGAATACACCGTTCTTTTGAAATTTCATTTTAGTTTGTTTAAAGTTTTAACTGTTAAATAATTTATTTTTCATTCGATCGTAAATATAGTCGTATAGTTAATTTTTCCTACTACTAAAAATTTCCGTGGACAAATCATAAATTTCATTTTAGTTTATTTAAGGTTTTTACTGTTTAATAATTTATTTTTCATTCGATCGTAATTATAGTCATGTAGTTAATTTTTCCTACTATGTAAACTTCCGTGGACAAATCGTAAATTTCATTTTAGTTTATTAAAAACTTTAACCAATAAATAATTGGTCGGAACTGTTTGGGAATTGTCTAATGTTTTGATTGGTTATCTTAGTAGAATTGCGACGAGACATTTTCTTTTGTTTTATCCTCCGAACCGCAAATTTTAAGACAATTTAAATAGCATCATTCCCTGTCTGAAGCGGCTCGTGATTACGAACACTTCATTCAGAGATAAGGTGTTATCCCGGTTATTAGTTTATTTTACATCTGAAACATTCATTTGCGTAAGTCTCCGCTATTTCAAGAGAACTGAAATAGTATCATTCCCCTGTCTGATGGGGCTCGTGATTACGATCACTTCATTCAGAGATAATATGCTAACCCGGTTATTAGTTTATTTTACGTCTGAAACTCTCATTTGCGTTAGTCTCCGTTATTTTAAGTGAACTCAAATAGTAACATTCCCCTGTCTGAAGCGGCTCGTGATTACGATCACTTCATTCAGAGGTAACGTGCTATCCCGGTTATTAGTTTATTTTACGTAAGACTGCGTTATTTTAATTGAACTTAAATAGTATCATTCCCCTGTCTGAAGCGGCTCGTGATTACGATCGCTTCATTCAGAGATAATGTACTATCCCGGTTGTTAGTTGGTTTTACTTTCCAACCACTAGTTTGAGTAAACCTCTTATAGAAACCCGGTTTCAGCCCTGGAATTAGTATTGTCCCGAACCTGTCTCCTCGCATTCTCAGCAACCGCATATGATATTTTGCTTTGCCGAAGTATTCAATTACATTAGATTGTAAATACCGATTAGACAATTTAACAGTTAATTTTTGCTACGACCGAATTAATACTTCCGAACGAAATAGCAAGTTACATTTTTAGCTCAACAACCGAATAGACAATGCAATAATAAACTTTTGCTGCGACCGTGATTACTACAATTATTGATTTCATTTTTTTCTCTTTACGTCTGATTGAGGTTATTCGGAAGTCATTTCCTGTTGTCTTGTTTGTTTATTTTTGTTCATGGTTTGTACATATTACCGTGAGGGTGGGCGTTGAAATACATTAATTTTTTTTTGTAAAATAGTTTAAAACAATATATGTGTCAGTGTTACTTGCCGTATTACTGGTTATTAATTCCTTACATTATTTCTCCCTTGTATTTCAGCTAGTGATAAATTCTGTACCAGCCCAAGCAACGATTAAAGCCCGTTACTTGTGGCATACTATTAGCTGTGTCTAAGTGACCTTTGACCCCTGGAATTTTTTATCTCCATCTGTAGCTACCCGAGTACTTTCGAGACGCCGTTTCGAGAGTTTGTGGAGTAAACCATATGGAGTAAATCTGGCGCTCGAGAACCGCCCGTAACCAGCGCCATTCGTAAGGAACCGTTTTCTCTGTGGCGAGAAAACACCTTACAACATACAGCATGTTACGTTTTTGCTTGGCAAATAAAAATGTATATTATTTTAAATGGAACACCCTATTGGAAATATTTAAAATACCAAGGTCATAACGATGACAGTTGACAGTTTGTCACTTGTACTTTTCAATGTCATATTTAATGCAATGTCACTTGTTTTTACTCAATAAATCCTTTATCTAAAACCTAAACTTTATCTGCAGTTATTTCCTTCATTTCAGTTTTAGAATGGTCTGATAATACTGTTTTCAACCTGTGTCCTGTGTCAGTAATGAATGTCAAGTAATTCCATTCAGCATGATATTTAACTTTTTTTCTACTTTAAGGTAATTATTTCTGTTATTTATGATTAGAAAAGAAAATTGTTTGAATTAGAATTATTTGTGATGTTATTTTCTATAATTTTTGTCATAAAATGATTTCCTAAGGAAAAATTTGAAAAAAGTGCAATATTCGAATTTTCTCAATATTTTTGTTGACAATGAAGATAAGAAGCAAGGAATTAAAGTTAAACACTACTTTTTCTATTGCTATAACTCATGATTTTAATCAATAATTAGAGGATCTAACACAGAAATGATTATTTTGTGTTATCCGAATGATCAAATAAGGAAATATACATAATTTATTAATCAACAATGATTGAGAAAATACAGTTTTATATTACAGCCCTAAAAAAATGTTTACTTTAATTCATATTCTAAACACTTTTTGAATTAGATGGGTGGCAATCAATTTATTTGATAACTTTATTATAAATCCGTGTGTTGGATACATCAGATATTTTAAAGGACGAGAACCAAGACGGTGACGAGGAACAAGACGAGGATGAGGGCCAAGACGAGGACCAAGACGGCGACGAGGACCAGGACGAACACGAAAACTAGGACGGGTACGAGGACCAAGGCGGGGACGAGGACCAAGACGGGGACGAGGATCAAGACGAGGACGAAAACAATAACGAGGACAAAAACAAGGACGAGGATGATATATATCTAGAGTTAGATTTGAGAGTACTTTTTGTCTAGTATTACCTTATTTATCAATTTATTTGAAATCCGTGTGTTGGATACATCAGATATTTTAAAGGACGAGGACGAGGACCAAGACGAGAGCCAAGACGGTGACGAGGACCAAGACAAGGATGAGGACCAAGACGGCGACGAGGACCAGGACGAACACGAAAACTAGGACGGGGACGAAGACCAAGGCGGGGACTAGGACCAAGACGAGGACGAAAACAAGAACGAGGACAAAAACAAGGACAAGGATGATATCTTACTAGAGTTAGATTTGAGAGTACTTTTTGTCTAGTATTACCTTATTTACAGTTACTGGTGGGACAACAACATCCTTTTTCTGGCAGCACTTCGTACAAAGGCCTAATTTTTTCCCACATTCTGCACACATAACGTGGTAAGCCCGTTTAACGGTTTTCAAATTGCATTTGACACATGTCTTGGCCTGTGACAATGGTTTATATTTTTTGTATTTAATTTTCCACTCGATTATATCTTTGCACCTTTCACATACATGGCTGACTTGAATTGAATTGATCATTTTTGTAACATGGTTGGTATCGTGGAGGTTATTTTTGAAAACTCCTCGATTTTTGTGTTTTTGAGGACGCGTACGTGCCACGTTACCTTTTTCTGAACTCATTTTCTAAATCTAAAACAAAAATTGCAGTTAGTGTTTTATTAAAATATTTTTATAAAAAAATAAATCAAAAAATAAAAGTACAGTTTAAATTATTTTGTTTTTGAATGAAGGAAAAGTTGTTTAACTTTTTATCTAATAAAAATAACTGAAGGAAAAGAGAAGTGAGAAAAATCGGTTGAGATCCAAAAAACTGAAATGCAATTTTGGAAATATGGAAAATCCCCAATTCCCTCTACAAAATTATGAAAATACACCTTAATATCCCCAAAGTGAAAACAAACTAAAGAAAAATTGAAATATTACACTTTGAGGATTTGGGGGTATATTTTCCATAATTTCGTAGAGAAATCCAATTTTTCTCACTTCTCTTTTCTTTCATTCTATTTCCCGTTTACGAATGAAGGATCTTAGAAATTTATTCTAGTACAATCATACAGATTGCCGTCCTTTTACACGATGTCACAAGTGTGGCTTTAAGAAGAATTGAGAGAGCTGGAATGGAATTAGAATTTGTGTGCGCCGACTAGGAATCTGATTTATTTCAAATGAACGAGTTCGGATGTCGAAATCATGTGTCTCGATATCTTAAACGGTAAGAGAATGGACGGCTTCAGTCTGAAGGTTCCAGGTTCAACTCCTGGTCGATGCAGTTATATGTATTTCCTTTAATCTCAGCTTTTTCAATTTTTCTTTGGTTTGTTTTTACTTTTCTATTTTTCATAATTTCGTAAGGAGAATTGGGAATTTTTCATTTTCACATTTCCAAAATTGTATTTAGTTTTTATCAAAATCAAATAATGGGCTCATAGTTTAAAAATATAAAGGACAGAATATTTGGGTTGTTTACTATTGAAGACACGAGTGGATAAAGGTGTCATGTCACAGAAAGATTATTTCGAGAGAAACAAATTTAAAGTTTCACAACTGCATTATGATATATGGCTCATGATAACTTCCTAACTGATGAATAGCCGTTATTTATCAAAATTGGAAAAAGGAACTTTTACAAACAAAAAATATAGTATATTTTAAGTATATTAGGCCATTAAAATCACTTTTTGAAAAAATGTGACATGACACCTTTATCCACTTATGTCTTCTATTATTCTCACAACCATCCAATAATAATAATAACCTGCCATTTTTAATAAACATTACCAGTTCTTTCATGGATTTAAGTCGTGACGAAAAAGATGCATCTTTGATGTTATTAAACTAGTATAGGTACAATCTATTAATTAAAAGTTTAGTTTTAAGTTGGTTAACATATAATTATTTTTTAATGAAATCCATGCTATTCTCTTGTTAAGCAGTTTAACATTTAACATGGAAATGCTATATGTAAGGAAGATTTAAGGAAAGTACTTATTCAGAGAAAAATAGAAAGCTGACGTCCTTTCTTATTTGGACACCTGGTACAACTATGGAAAGACAAAAACATTGATGTAAAAAACATTGTACTTATTTAGAGAAAAATAGAAAGCTGACGTCCTTTCTTATTTGGACACCTGGTATAGTTTTTCTAAAGTCAGTTGGAACAGTATAAAAACAACTGGTAAAAAAATTCTTTTAATTTAGCCGCATAACATAGGCGTAGGCATATTTTTTAGATTAGGTATGTAAAATAAGGTTTTAATGATTTTAAAATAAAAGTATTGAATCGATTTGAATCGTTTCGTAGAAGGACAAAGAGAGAAAGGATTAGTATTCTAGGAGAAGACGGGTGCAGCAGACAGGTTTGGTTCTCGCGTCTCAGTTCTTGATTCGTCTTATTATACACTGTTATAAATTATCGTTTCGTTCACTGATTTTCTTGATCTTCTCGCTGTTATTCTCATTTCGCACATTGGCTTATAACATCGTTTTATATCGCTTTTTCTCGAGCATGTGAGAAAGCTAAGTTTAATTTAGTTCATTACAGGTGAAGTAAACCCGTAGATTTAATCTTGCCAGGTCTGTATATAAGTAGGCTAATTTTCTGACCATAGTAGAATTGTTTAAAATCACATAAAATTTTCAATATAATCGGTCAATTAAAGTTTTTATTTACTTCACGGTTATTTTTAAAAACTAATTTAATTTTTACTATAACATCACTGGTAATTTTTAATTTTGCAAAAACTCTTCTTTTTATTTACCTACCTATTAATTTTGTTAAACCAATTATTATTGCTACTTTCAATTCACCTACACCATGGTTCGTATATAAAACTGATTGTCCCTCAACGTTTTTAAAAATAATTGTGACTAGCAGAATTTTACCGAAACATATGTAGTGCTATACAAATTCACCGATTAAACCAGAAAAGTTTATTGTGTTTGAAAAATTTTTAGACATATAACATTTAAACATTTCATTCAGCAAACTGACAAGTATAAATAAAACTACTTATGGCAAGGAATATAGGTATTTACACACCAAAAACAAAAAAAAAATAAACAGAAATTGGAACTAGTCAAACTAATTTCAAAAATAAATGAATAAACAGAAATCTACAAAAAAAGTAGCCCTAGTCATCATCAGGGAATTCATCGTCGGATGAACTATTGAGGTCAGTTATAACTGGCTGTATAGGTGGCAGAAGAACATATTCCTGTTCTTTAGAAACTACATGTGATATGCTGTTTTTCGAAATATCACTATGTTCATCATTCAAAAGCAACTTTATACGTTCAACAACTTGTTTGCTTAAATTCGGGGATTGATTTATCTTTAGTAATTGGCCTTTAATGTATGCCCATATTAATTCTATCGGATTAAATATGCAATAATAGGGAGGTAGGCGAAGCAGAGTATGACCGTGCATTACAAAGTTCATCTTTATAATACTTCTTTTCAAAATTCTGTTTTTCTATAATCTCTAGTAAAACTTTAATTGTCGGATTTTTTTGAGGAACGGCTAAGTTTTTTTCTTTCATAAATTCCAAAACATCACTTTTTTTAGTTCTTCGGTTAGGAATTGTTCTCGTTTGACGCGAATGATAAGAGGCATTGTCCATAACGATAACGGTTTCCTTAGGAATATTAGGTAATAGCTGTTCTTTAAACCATTTTTCAAATAATTGCGCTGTCATATCATATCATAATCAGCACAGGAATTTTTTATTTGTTTAGCAGATAATAACAAAGCATTAGGGACAAAACCATTTATACTTCCTTCGTGCAAAATAATTATTCTTTTTCCACTAGAGAAAGGCGTTTGCAAACAATTTTTGGAGTCATCAACCCATCCATAATTAACGACATCTTGACTATCAAACCACGTTTCATCCAGGTATACGATATGTCGATTACTATCACGAAAATTTTTAATTTTGCGTAAATAATCCTGTTGAAGTCTAACAATTCGTTGTGATTCCATTATCACCATTCGTTTGTCCAATTTCCTATGTCTAAATCCACAATCTAATAAAATTTGACGCAATATTTCTAGGGACTTGTAATTATAGTCGGGGTAATCTAATCATTTTCTTTGAATACACTCTAAAGTAGGAACTTGATTTTCTTGATACATATTATTAATTGTCCTACGTATAAATTCCTTTCCACTTTTATCAATTTTCGCAAGCTTTTGATTAACTCTTTCTCGTTGTACAAAATGGTCAGTTACATCTCCTTTTGAAATAATACGATAAAAAGTTGTTCGTTTCAATTTAGTTAGTTCACATATTCTTATTATAAAGTTGTCGGATTTTTCACAATTTTTTTCTTTTCAAACATTCAAAAATATTTAAAACAAGTCTTTGTGTTTGAACATGCAAATCTTTATTTTTAAATTCCCAATCACTTTCTTCAGTATTCTCTGAATCACAGTCAATGATCTCATTATCCTGTGACATTTCACTATTTGCCTCAAACGGTCTCCAAAATACCATATTAAAACTGTCACAGATTTAAATAAACTTCCACTCAATATTTCTTTACTTTTAGTTCAATCAGATAAACTGATTTTTGACGCAATTATTAAATTCACTTAAAATTCTAAAATATTTATCTGAAAAACAAGAAAGTATCAAAAAACCCAAACACGCGTTACTGAAATTTGAAATGAACAACAATTGTTCGTCAAAAAGATTTATTACCTAGCGACTCAATAATATTGTGATGATAAATAGGCAAGATAATGCGAAAATACAGCTGGTCTACTGCTTTGTCAAATGATAAAGTGTCACTAGTAATACAAGGCTAGACCCGTATTTATTTAGCCCAATACTATGTAGCTTTAGCATTAGCGAAATATATAAACGGTGTACTCTTTGTAAGCTAGTTATGTTTTTCACTATTCCAACTGACTTTGGAAATACTATACAACTATGAAGCGTTTACCCTTATCTTTGTGGCCTTTTATAGGATCTTCAAATGTTCTTAGTATGTATATTTATATTACCCTTTAAAAATATCAACGTTTCACCCAGGAAAACAAAGTTAAATGGGTTTGGACTTAAATGTTTTATACAGGTATCTTGCTTTAATCTGCGAATAGACAGATTTTAACGTCAATCCCAACTTACATGTGACTTTGGCATTGACCTTTGGAAGCGATTAGTTAGATTTGAGTTGAGTTAGTTAGATTTGAGTTAGACAGTGTTCGAAAAGGTTCAGTGCTAGACATTTCAGTTGTACCCATTTCGAAACGAATGGCCTCTCTATTTTCCGTTTTTCACTTTCTTCACATTTAAATAATACTTCTGCGATATTTTCTTATTTGTTAATTTATATTCTTTGTAGGATGGAAGATTTTGTCTATACAGGGTGTTAAAAAAAAGTGTCACAAAATAAAACGGGGCCAAAATATGCAGAAAAGTCTTAATAAACATATGTCCGCAAATGAATGGTTTCAGAGATACGGAGTGTTTTGTGTTTTGTATCATTTTTTGATTATCTTTTTTCATTCTCAAAAACTTGCTTTTCTTATCGGAGTCTACCGATGTTTTTTCATAGATACTATTTGCAGTTATTATTTTGTTGTGGGTGAATAATTTTATAAATTTTCGTTATGCCTGTTTACACTAATATTGAATTAGCTGACATGCATTTTATGTACGGTCGTGCAAATGGCAATGCATTGAAATGGAGGGAGGGCACTTTGAACATCTCATTTAACTCTATGTTGTTATTGATTGTTTATAAATATCATTGTTTTTTTATAATAATAAAAAATTGTTATAAACACAAAATGGTCCGTATCTCCGAAACCGTTAATTTGCGGTCATATATTTATTAAGACTTTTCTGCTTATTTTGGGTCATACTATTCGCCATTTCATTTTGTGGCACTTTTTTTTAACACCCTGTATACTCAATGAATCTTAAACTTAATTTCTCAGTCCATTCCATTTTTAATACTATTATACAATTAATTCTACTCCCATCAAATACAAACAAATGACCGAACAGGAACACCAAACAGACAAACGCCAGCAGAAATAAAAAAGTGACAAATCGTGTCCAAACTCACTTTGAATTACTGTGATGTTTGTTTATTTTCAAACAACAGTTTATTTATTAATAATTTATTTAAACACTTATTTATTTTATAACACAACTATTCTAATTTATATATACTTCGAATGTCTTTAAACTGATCACTATTTATATTCACCACTGTCTATCTACTAATTACTATTTATCTTCACTGTCCATATAATAACTAACTATTTGTTGGTCCTCCACCAATATTTATATACAAATTGGTGGTCTAGAATGCTCCTCCACCAAAATTACCAGAATGTACCAGAAACGTTATCACGTTATATTTAGACTAGAAATAGTATCTCGTTGACTCTGGAATGTTCGCGAAAGTGTCTCCACCATAGTCGTCACATAGGTTTGGTCTTAAGGGGTTTAATTATGTATAATAATCGGACAAGTTGAGCCTCAAAGGCCAAATAATACAGAGAGGGACTTGGAGTATTAGAGCATGACTGAATAATGAAATGGCTCACATTACATTACAAATAACAATTTAAAAAAAAATAAATAAATAAATAAATTACACCACAATCAAAATAAAAAAAGCAATTATTTTAATAAATATTCAAAATGATTGAGCCCATAAAAACCTAGAAAGAAGAACTCCTTATCAACTTTATTTGAAATCGATAATCAGGTTTATGTTAAAAACAATCATTTTAAACAAGGATTGTCTCATAGCATTATTAATACTAGAATGGCTGCTAAAAAAGATTTATGGCTTCAAAATCCTAAACATACTGCATGTCAGAACCATATCTATTGTTTAGGTTCTAAGGTATGTAATTGTTTACCACAGGAATTTAAAAGTAAGTCATAAAATCAAAAATAGGATAAACCAATGGATAGTTGAAACAAATTTTTCGATTACTTATCTTTTATAAATATAACGTTCTTTAATTCTAAAATTTATTCATTTTCAGTATTTGCTTCTCTAACTATTAATATAAGATCATTTGCGAGTAAATTTAGGTAAATGTGATTTATATCTAATTAACCTTTTTCTAAGAATATATATGTGTCATTAAGAGCACACACAGCATATTAACTTGCCATTGTGCGCTGAATATCTATTTATTTTCCTCTTCTTTCAATAATGCAACCAAGACATAAGGTTTAATTAATTCCTAGGAATTAGAAAAAATATATATTCAAAATTAGACCATTTAAAGTTTTGTCTTCTATTTTATAAGTTCTTGATTACTTTGAATGTTAGGCTACTAGTGAACTTAAGTCACACTATTAGGTAATTAGGATACCTTGTTTATATTTAAGTTATTGTGTATAATAATAATAAAAGTGCTTTATTGAAAAATAAAAGTTATAAAAGGCCATTGACCGAGGTCCTTCAGCCTAATTGTGTATATGTATGTAATAATTTGTAATTTAAATTACTGTAAACTGAATGGCTAATAAATAATAAGTAAATAAATTAGACATGTTCCTTGTTGAAATAGGTATTTAATTTTACTATTTGCGTATCTTAACAATCAAGTATAAAATAATTATGTAAAAAAAAGATAAAAATCATTTAATAAATATATACAATATCCAAGTCCCAATTACTAATCTACGGATCCAAATAAAACTTCATTTAAAATACTATCAGTAAATACTTGTAGCAGCTCCTTTTCGCATTTGGAATTTAGCTCCATTTCTTTCTCAACTATTCTTTGCAAGGCTTGAAATTCAGTCATTTGTTCTCCTACCTTGCATTCCTTAAGCAATTCTGTATTCTTAATTTTGGCCATGTTGACCAATGTGTTAAATAAGGCACAGTGTTCTGATAATTGCTTTTTTAGTTCGTTAGCTAAAGTTCTATACTGTGGTAACTCATCATAAACTTCAGAGTGAGGTCCGGCGTGTATATAAGATGCTTTTCTCATAATTTCTATTTGTTGTTTAATACATTTTCGATAGTCCTCACTTGTCCCCACTACAAAATCTTTTAATTGGGTCATTAAATTTATAGTAGCGACTTCACCTTCTTGAATTGCTTTCGTAATATCATCTTCTAATTTTTCTGTAGACTCGTCTCCCATTTTTGAGGCGTAAATGGTTTGCGTACAAACTATTAATGACACTTCCCCGATTTTAACTAATTTTCGAAAATTATTTGATTTATAACTAATTGGTACTCTAAAATTTCTTATAAATCTATTAATTATTCTACATTGGCGAAACATGGATTACAGCATTTCAAAAGGTTATTATTAAAATAAAAATGAAAACATCAAAATTGAAAGCATGACAACCGATGGATCTAATATATTTCTCTCTTCGTCTTACTAAACCTGGTGTAATTAACTTTTTCTTTGTTTAATAATACATAACCTCTAAGCTCAAGTTTTCAAAATATTTTGAAATGAAATTTATTCGTTTTCGATCATCAGCAAAATTTCACTTTGCAAAAAACAAACTTTTTCGGACTCATTCAATTCAAACATGCATTTTAATGGGTACAGGAGATGCAATAGCTCAAACGGTAGTTGAGAAAACAGATTACAATCAATTTGATTTTCGTCGAACACTGAAATTTGCGTTTGTAGGATTAATATTTGTTGTAAGTACTCACCAATTTAGTAAAAATGTTCCTTATCCCCAATTATTATTTCTAATCAACATATACTAATCATATATTCTTTTAAATATTAAAAAATAAATGTACGAAAATAGGTTAGAAAATCACAATTCTACGTCGAACGTCAACTATCCCAACTATCCCAACTATCCATTCTGCGGTCTAGGTTTTTTTGCCAGAGCCGGCTTTAAAATATCCTATAAGAGTTCAAATTAAGTTACCTATAAAAAAGTAATTGAAAAGTATACAGTATTTATTTGCGTAGTAGTTATTTGCTAAATACATTATGAAAAAATATGTTTTATTTAAATCTCTTTGTTGTAGTAATAATTATACAAAAATAGTTTGGACCACCAAAAAAAAATGACTGTAATTATCTGATAATTTATCATAAAAACCATCTAAATAATGACGATAATTTAAATAATACGAGGGCCATTCTCTTTCCGTTGATCCTAGTAAAGTAAAACACAGATTATTTACAAAAAACGTTTATTTATAATTTTTCCAGTCAATGCATTTTTGCATCTGCGAAAACCATTCTTGAAAACATTTTCTCCAATCTTCTGGCTGTAGTGTGTTTATTTAATTCACGTAAATCCCGTAATTTATCCTTTACCCGTGGAAATAAGTTATTAGGTTCTAGATCTGGACTATATACGGCGAATGACGCATAATTGATATGTTTTGGATATTCAAATACTCATTTGTTTGAGCGTTATCTTGATGTAAGATGATCCTTTCTCTTGGACGTTCTTGCGAACCTTTTGGAGAACCTGAGGCAAACAAACTGTGGTGTACGATTAAGAGTACGTCTACTCTTCAGTGCTACAGTGAAAACATTCCCAGTAATTACTAGTTTCCATCTTTATTAATTACAAAGACATATGTCAAGACAGCGCCACCATCCCCTTTCACCTGAATGATCACAATATGATGCCTCATTGCACACTACATATATATCTATTAATAAATCGAGACAGAAATTCATTACTAAAAGAAAATTTAAGAACCTAAATATTGAAAAATTTAAAAGTGATTTACAAGCAATTTACTGGGATGGTATATTCTTTATTGATAATATTAATGACAAGGTCAGCTTCTTAAATGACAATATAACTATGCTTTTCAATGAACATGTACCCTTGGTAAAAATCAGAGTCAGTAAACCACCAGCTCCCTGGCTTACTGATAATTTAAAGCTATATAATTCTCAAGGAACGGGATAAGGCATTATCTAAATTTAAATGTAACAGAACACCTGAAAACTGGAGGCATTATAAGGAATATCGAAATTATGCTCTGGCCTCAATTAAGAGGGAAAAATCAGCATTTTTATCCAGTTTGCAAAATGAAAAAATAAGAAACGTTTATGGAAAGGCCTATACACAATATGAATGTTAATTCTATTTTAAAAAATGATCTACCTGTGAACCTACAAAATCCTACAGAAATAAATGATTATTTTTAACAAGATTCATTATTATGCTAATAATAAATTCCTGGCCAATACTTTTAATTTTACCCTAGTTAATCAAAATAATGTCCGAGATGCAATAAATTCAATCAACTCTAATGCTTCCGGAAGTGATGCTTAAACTGTGCCTACTGTACCTACTATCTTGGATCACACAACACATATAATTGATTGCTGCCTTCAGTGCGGCTATTTTCCAAGGGCTTGGAGAGACTCTATCATTTGTCCTATTCCTAAAATATCTAATCCAACTTCGGTACAAGACTTACGTCCTATAAGCTTATTGCCTGTTATTTCCAAGATTCTTAAACGAGTTGTGTATAACCAGTTATTTGAATATTTAACTACTCATAAAATCCTACCTGTACAACAATCTGATTTCCGCAAATAGCATAATACCACTACTTCGTTACTAAACCTCTGTAATAATGTTATTCGTGCAATTGCCTTGGATTATTCTAAAGCTTTCGATTTTATTGAACACGAACTTTTGTGCGCAAAACTTCAATACTATGGATGTAGTGATATTGTTTTATCTTTTTCAAATCCTATTTGTGGAATCGTACTCAGAAGGTAGTGATTGATAATAACTTCTCGGCCTCCCCCAGGGATCCATCATGGGTCCTTTAGTATTCTTAGTATACACCTCTGACTTACTAAAAGTACTAAAGCAGCCATACTCAACCTGCGGCCCGCGGGCCGCATGCGGCCCTCCAAGCTTTTTTGTGCGGCCCTCCAAGCTTTTCTATGCAGCCTCAAACACTATTATTAGGAATTGAAATGGTTGATCTACAGTCCTTTTTTGAAATATATTGTCCTTGTGACTTTTCAGATCTTATTAACAGATTTATGTGGCCCGAAAGAAAAAAAGGTTGAGTACAGCTGTACTAACTTTACGCTGATGATACCCAGTTATTAAATTATTTCGAAACCCAAGATATACACAATGCTAACAATCTGATTAATAGAGATTTGCAGTTTCTATTACAATATTCAAAAGAATACAATCAATAGTAATCCTTCAAAAACTACTGCTGTTATGTTATGCAGTGAACCCAGACGTGTTGTTATTGAGAGATCAATGAGACTCGAGTTGTGTGATGTTAGTATAACTCTAAATAACGAATCAGAAAATTTGGGTCTACTTATTGATCAGTCTCTTAGATTTAAGAGTCATATTAAGACCTTGGTCAAGAGATGCTACTCAAGATTGCGGTTGCTTTACATTAATAAGCATATATTGAACTTTAAAATGAGAAAAAAACTTTGTGAATATTTAGTATTATCAATATTAAGTTATTGCAATAATGTTTACTATACTTGTCTGGACAAATTGTCACAAAGCCAGTTACAGCTTATACAAAATGCTTGTTGCAAATACATTTTTGGTTTGAGGAAATATGATCATATCTCAATTTATTTTGCTCAACTGAAATGGCTCAAAGTTGACAATCTATATCAACTAAATATAAAGCATAATTTTACCAAAGGATCAATTTGCTATTTGGTTTATACTAACATACATTTTAATGTAATTTGTTGTTTTTATTAGGGTCCAGTTCTTACAACGTGGTATACATTTCTGAATACAACACTACCACACAGTCGTAAATTGTATAGTACAGCAGCTTTAACGAAAGTTGCCCTCGACCAATTGGTTTTTGCTCCAGTCTTTTTACCAGCCTGTGTTACTGCTGTGCACGTCATGAATGGCAGACCACTGAAAAATATTAGGAACGAGCTAAGACTTAAATACAGGGATATTTTATTAATGAACTACAAAATTTGGCCTGCAGTTCAGATTATGAATTTCGGAATAGTACCAATAAAATATCAAGTGATTTTAATTCAAACTGTAGGTATATTATGGAATACCTATTTGTCTTATAAGGTACAGTTAAATCATTCGGGCGAAAAAATGTGAATGTCGACGTTATTTTTTAATATGTATTATTTTTTTATATATTTATTTATATGTATTTTTTATGTAAAAAATAAAGTAATAATTATTTTTACCTTGTATTATCTTAATTCCATCATCTTACCCACAAAGCACGTATCCTCTACAGACCCCACGCCAATGTTAGACTTTTAACCAAATTAGCGCCACCTTGTGTTTGAAGAAGGAATTAAAATGACAATTGACAGATGGCGGTAAATTCAAATTATAATTTTTAATAGTAGGTAAATTTTAAATGATTTCTACATAAATTATTTTATAAAATAAAGTATGGAACTAGTAAGTTCGAAACTTTTATTTTATAAAATAATTTAGGTCAATATGCCAAATTTAAAGAATTAATTTGTTATAATGGGTTTAATTTGGAGAGTTGGTTTTGCATATTATTATTAAATAAATATAAGATATATCAATAAATAATAAAATAGAACATTCATAAAATATGTTTATTAATAACTTAAATAAATATAATTAGAACAAAATAAATACAAATAATATTACCGTTGGATAAATTTAATATAGGTAGGAAAAAGGTGAATCTTCAACTATTCATTCACTGATAAATATTTTCCTTCCAAATACAGATGGTATACTCTCTTATGTGAAAAATTATTTCGGGATCTTATCACTGATCTGTATTATTTTACTGGATAGGATATAGCTATATTTAACATATTAAAAAATCGTTCCACCAAGGAGACCGGAAGTGCAACAATGCTGGCCGATTTGGGCAAATTATGGTGGGTTCACAGAACTAAAATTTGGGATAATTTGACATACCTAACCTATAATTTGATTATTTTTTCTTCTTATTCTTCTTCTATTCCTTTTGCGGGCGATGTCCTTCGGGAAATTTCACCCATGATTTGATTTTTTATGAAAGAAAATATAAAAATGGAAACGTGAAGCATATTGTGTCTTCAGGAATGAACGTTTATTGTTTATTTCATACTCTTTTTACTTTGTTTTCCACAATAAAAACATCTCATCGTAGCTTGTTGACACAATTTAATGACAAATGTGATGACACATGGAAATAGAGGTTACGTTAAATAACATCCGGTCCGCCATATTATTTGCCCAAATCGGCCAATTTTTCGGAACGTTTTTTAGGGGGCTATATCCTATCCAGTAAAATAATACAGATCAGTGGATCTTATCCAGTGATAAATTGATTATCAATTAGTTGTACCCGTTTGTCTTTTTATGAAGTTTTTCTCGAAGTTTTCAACGTAGCACCAAAATTATTGCAAAACACAGTAGGAAATAGAAAAACAAAATATCACAATTTTGCAAATAACTAAAAAGAAACTATAAATAGAAACCAAAAGCCAAAGCTAACAAATTATCGCTAAAATCAGACGGAAAAATTAAAAATGGAGTAAGAAATCATAATTTTACCAGTAGCCCCATCTAGAGTTTGGAGTTATAGCATAAGAAATATCAGTTGTCCGTTTTGACCTTGGCATTCATATTTAGACTAGAGATAGTCATTCATCTGGAACCAGGGCTGCCAAATTCAGTACGCTTGTACTTTTTTAGTACTTTTTCAGTACGTCAGTGTTACAATAGGTTTGTTCCAACTTGATACATAACCATTCCGTAACGGTACAGCGCATGCGTATTACACTCCAAGCGTTCCAACTTAATTTGTACGATGTGCGGGTTGATACAGAATTCGTTCCAACTAAAAAATGGATGATTCCAGAATCGTTTCTGTACCGTCATATCGATTCACAAATTTTTGTGGAACTGTTAGAACTGACTTGCGCAAAGCGATCGATATATGTTGATAGAGCAAATAGAGGTTAATTTTAGTTAACTTAACCTACAAATTTACAGCGTTTTTATGTTTTGATAGGTAGATAATAACAAAATATACATTTTTCTACACCCGTATTATAATAATGCACTTATATGCCCATAATCCGTTTCATAATGATACCCATTATGATACAGATTTTTCATTACGATACAGATTTTTAATCAATAGAAACCTACAATTTTTCAATCAAGCATGCTGTTTGACGTTTGTCCTAGGTTCCTATGTAATTATTTTAGTTGTCAAAACGTATTAAATTTTCGTAGGTAGCTAAACTTCGATAATTATAATATTAAAATGTCTGATATTAGCGATATAGAAGACTCCTCCACACATATCGGAGAAAGCAGAAAATACAGTACAAAATATTTTACCGCAAAAATCTAGGGAAATACCAATACCTGAAGTAATACCATTAATTACAATTTTGTAGAATTTTTTATAGAAATACGAGTAATTACTGTTATTGTGTTCAATACCAATATAAATATAATATTTATAGGTCTTGATTATTTATCGGGTGTAGAAAAAATAGCGTATGCAACTCTCATGTAATGGTTATTAAAACATGATCGTTGCATAATATACTATTTTATTTAGAAAATACTGTTTATAAATCATATTTGGAAAATGAGTGATATAGAAGGAGACAGTAATTTTTTTGATGATGATGCTAGTGACGATGATTTAGAATTAATGGTAAATTGAGAAGGGATAATAAACAAAATTATTTGAACAGAATATATTCATTATTTACCAATATTTTCCATTGTGCTCTAGAATATAGAATGATACAATAAAAAATCAATAACATCCATAATTATAAAACAGAAAACTAGTTTATTTTTATTTTCGGAAAGTTTGGTTAGAATTTTCTTCCTCTTCTATTTTATCTATTTATGAACCATCAGCAGTTTTAAAAGCGTTCCAACTCATTTTCGATTCCAAAACCATTCAGAGATGGGCTTGCGCAGTACATCGTTCATAAACTGATGTTGGTGTGATACAAGAACGGTACCAAACACCAAGTTGGAACAAACCTATTGTTAGTTTCAGTACGTTTTGTTAAAAATAATCAATTCAGTACCATTTTCAGTACTATGGACATTTTTCCAATAAAGTGACGTATTTTATCAACAAAATAGTACTGAACCATTTTCAGTACTATTTTCAGTTAAGTCATGTGATGAGTCAAATAATTTAGAGTATGGTAGTTTTCCTCCTCCTTTAGCTTATTTTCTAGTTCTTCCAGGTCAATTTCTGGCCTTACAGAATTTTTTTCATAGAAAGTGTGTATGTAATTCTGTTAACACTAAATTTTAGTTTTAATCCACCATTAGTATTAACCATATTAATTAATTCACACTGGCAATTAATATTTGGGATATCCTGTGTTCTAACTTCACTTATAGGTCCTAAAAACTACAAATATAGTAAAATTTGTTTATTTTTATATAGGACACACGATGCAATTAATTTTTACTAATTTACTTACTGAAACGAGATCAAAGAAATTTCTAGGAATTGTAGGTTATGTTATTCTTCTTATCTTTTATTAAGGTTGTTTTTGGCCTAAACATTAGTGCGTTTGCTAACCAATTAATAGATAGGTATCTGGGAAAAATTCATATAGATATGTATATAAACGTTTTTTTTTACATGTATTTGGTGTTAATTTTTACCTGCAAGCATTTAGAACATTCTCAGAATATGAGGTACATGCTGGGTATATGACTTTTACTATCTTCTTAGAATGTTCTGTTATAGCACGTGCTCAGTATATACTTTTTGGAATATACTTTTAAGGCACGTGCTCAGCATATACTTTCTAGAATATACTTTCAAAGTATATACTAGGTATGTTTTAAGAACATACTAAAAAGAACATAAACAGAACGTTCTTAGTATATTCATAGAACATTGATGTTGTGTGGGGAGAGTTGCATCAATATCAATTTTGTGACATAATGACATTCGACTTGACGGTAACCGTAAAAATATAGCGGGTAGTGAATTGACGTTATGAGTCACCATTTTCAGGTAACCGGATCCCTAATTTAACCGATTTTTCAGGAATGTCAAGCAGAGCGGTTATTTTTGGACCGAGTAATCGATATTTTGGTTAATGACGGTCCATACCCTTGAAATTTATAGCAGGTTTGTTGGTTGTAATTCTAAAAGTAAAATGGATTAAGACTTTTTTTTCTTATACATAAAGATTATATAATTTAATAAAAGTGTTAAACCACAAGAACATCATTTTTATTTTACTTGTGGCCAGCCCAGATGTTTCCATATGATAAAATGTTTGTAAATGTTCAAATTTTTCTATAAAAGTTATTTAATAGGTAATGAATTTAAAGCTCCATTAATTTTTAAGGTGTCGTTCGATTTAGGTATTGGTACATTTTTATAAAATATAGCTTTTTTTTAAAGTTGTTTATTCAGTACGTATTTTTTAAAATTCAGTACCTTTTAAAATGTTTTTCACTACGATTTGTCATATTCATTCTGCCAGCCATGCCTGGAACCTCTATAATGTGCTTGTGATCTTATCTTTTCTTCCCAGTCGCCCATATCAAGTGCGAGTGGAACATTTTAAATTGCATATTTTTATTCCTTTTGTTAAAATTTTCAACAATTCTGCCATCTTGGTACTTCGATTAAATTATAGTAGACAATTTTAATAGTTTTTTTGTTTTTAAAATTACAAACAAAAATTTCAATATTCCCTGAAGTCGACTCTGTCTACGACGTAATGCAATGTTGGTTGCCTATGTATAGAGGTGAGTAAACTGTAAAGTTGGTTGTATAAGTACGCCGCCGGGATGTCAAAGGATAGCGACGGCGACGCTGCACAAAATCGACGTCTGCGTATTTTTAGAATTTAGATTAGAAAGTATAGAGAACATGTTAGTAAAGTAGTAAAATTAATTGAAGTTATTATTAATCTACATATCCTGTAAGATGATGTATAGAAATCGAAATTCTAAAATATCCTGCTGATCGATATATACTGGGCCACTGGGAGCCAAGATGTTTTGTTGATGTTTGCCAAAATTATGACCTATTAGAAATCGGGTGAGTTAATCATATATTTGGGTAAGAACCTGTCGGTATGCAGCTATTTTGGTAGGTTCACAAACCTATTTAACGCAATTTTTTTGCTTTTTGTTTCTAGATCATTAAGAGAAACATCCAGCAGTATTTTTTTATAATTAGGTTCAACACATGTAATTCTTAACCAAAGAATTTTTCTACAAAAAAAAAACAAATGCACTGACATAATTTTAGTACTTTTAATATAGTTTTAGGTATTTACATGAATTTATTTAAATTCTCGGTCATCTTTGAACAGATAGGTACCATGTTTTTATTAATTGGAGTTACTTATAATTAATTCTTAGTATAAATAAAGTTAGATCTCTAGGCAATAATAAGATTTCTACAAAGTAATAATTATTATAATTGGTAATTGAGTGTTGCCAACAATATAAAGAAATAGGCAATATAAACAAGATATAGATGTGTTATTTGTCGTTACTTTAAAATAATAATAAAACGTTTGCTACTTTCATAAGTTCGTTGGTCATAAATTGTAGACTGAGAGAAAAAAGAAAAATAATTTGCTTATAATTTCTTTTAAGTCTGTTCTTGTACACCACCCTGTAAATATTTAAACAGAGTTAAATCAGATGAACTCGGTGGATGGGTTCCTATTTAAAAATATTTGCCTAGAAAATCTTCACTAAAAAAATCTCAATGCTACTTCAAATATTATTCCGCCTTTATTTTACTGACAAAGAATCACGAAATTGTACTGTTTTAAAAATAGATTTAATAAAATAATTGAATCCTAAAAATGTATTGAACTATTTTAACGTCTTTTAAATTAACATCGAATTGCGGAACAAACATTTTCAAAGTTTCTTTATTTCAGAAAATGGCACTGGTAATGTTACCAAGTGACCTCCCATGGTGGGACTCAGTAAAGAGGTTGTTAAAAAAAATTGCCGAAACCAAAAATTCTGTCGATCTTATTGAAAAGATGCAAAAAATATACGAGATGTGCAAGTAAGTAGAATGTCAATGGCGCATCTATCATAAATAAGAAGTTAACTTTCCTACAAGAAGAATTTCTAAAATATGCTTTATTTTAAGAAATATGCGATTTTCCTCTTTTAAAATCTACTATTTTTAATTTAGTGCTTTTACTACAAACCCACAATTTGTATTTAGTAAGAACAAAATAACACTCCAAGAAGTACTATATATTTATACGGTGTGGAAACAACTCATGGAATAAAATTGTTTTTGGCCTTATTTTAGAAAGTTATGAAAAACGGTGGGACACGTCAATTTCTTAACTAAATTATACGTTTTCCGAACGAAAATATAAATATACAGTGTAAGTCTAGCACTGTAGGAAGCTCCTTAATAAGCTGACTTTAACGAACTATAATATTTATGGTCTATACGAATAATACTGGGTGAAATTTTAAAAATATTATTGGGCTTTAAATAATAATGTTAATTAGTCAAACACAGATTTATCTAGAGTAAGTTTCAAGTATTTGCGTTTCAAAAATAAATAAAACTCAGTCTCGAGGCATTGAAACAAATTTTATTTTGCATTTGCTTCCAAAATTTTTTTAGAAAAAATATCACCACTTTTTATCAGAGATAAGGGACATAAAGATAGGAAACGCTCATAAGAAGCCCATGCTTAACAACAACCAGCTCTAACGCAGTTAACATCTGACCAACCATGTGGCGCTTTCATCGATATTAAACAAATAACGCACTGGGAAATTTGAAAACCTGATAATAAAGGTTGTATAAATATCGATTGTACTCTCATGTTCTGGTAAATAAATTTAAACAATGTAATTACGCTAAATTATTTATTAAAAAGAATACTACACTTACGGTCTATTATTGAAATTATTGTAGATCTATTTATGACAAATATTTTTTTAATTTTTGATCGTTATGTGTAACTTTAACATTTTTGTTCTTATTTTTAAAACGAATGTCCAACGGTGTCTTATCTAAAAATGTTGAGTGCAAACTCATTAATGGAAATTCAGATATTTTTCTTCATATATCAAATCTTCCAACGTTTTGAAGTAATTTTCTTGTTCTAAAAGAATAAAAAATAAATACCTACTTTGCGACAAAAGTTGACTACTATTTGTGTTATTTACATTGCTAGATTTTACTTTGGTAAATTAAAGAACGCCACATTCGTGATGTTAAATTTATTCATGTTAAATTTCACACAAAAACAACCACTACCATTTCGCTTAGTTTATCTAGAGGGTAACACAATTATGAACGCAAAATTTAAAATTCAAATTAAGGATTCTACGATATACATCAACTAATTGACATTTATATTTACAAACTGTCAACTGTTGTCCAAGTTTACTGTCTATCTCGAAACGACGTGTACCTTTAGCTAACATCTGAGACGTATAGATGACGCCATCGTTGCTGTGGTCGTTGCGTTTCCTATCTTTATGTCCCTAATATCTGCTTTTTATCTTATACAAACCGGAAATTGCATTGATGCGGCAATAAATGCATTCTTTGAGAATGCCTTTGGAAGATTAAAGAATTTTATAAATAAGAGTCAGAACTGACCCAAATCGGGTTCACAGTGTTTTTTAAGGTCGCTAATCACGATTATGAAGTTCAAATTGACCCACAGCCGACCTGGAGCTCAGGAACGCCGATGAACGTCATCTCCGTGGGACTCTTCCGAAATTCACGCAGGAACCTGGATGTGGACGTCATCCCCGAGAATTTTCCTGACAAGATCGCCAAAAACAACCAGAAAATCATTGTGGGGGCGTTTTTGGGTCGCTGGATCCAAATTTCACGTCGAAAACGACCCCCTGAATAACTGGTGCACCGAAACCTGGACGCGGACCTCATCTCTGTGAGTTTTCCTCACACAATCGAAAAAGACGAACCGAAAATCGTTATGGGGTGTTTTTTGGGACTTGAATTCAAATCTGGTATGAGCGAACACCACTTGGACGCATATTCGGAAACCGCCGACATGTTAGGCACTCGGAAGAGTTCGATGCCGCGAATGACAAACTTGTAAAATCCCGACCTGTTAGAACTAATACGTTGGTGATTTATGAAATAAGAACTGTTTGTTTACTGGGCATCAATTATCACGAAATAATTTTAGTTTTAGTTTCCCTTTTCTATTTTCTATTGTGCAACTCTCTATTCAGATTATTTTTTAATTTATTGTTCGTGCCATAAATGGGTGATTTTAAATTAATAAAACTGGTCCATAATATAAAGGATTATTTTGTTGAAAAGAACCATAGGTACTCCAAAAAAGAAGAAAGCATATATCAGTACAACCTACATCCATTGGATTCGTGGCAGAAAGACAACACTGAAAGGAAAGAAGACAATGTTCAGTGGGAGAAAAGAAGACAATATAAAGTGAAAGAAAAGTAGGTTATTAAAATAGAGTTACGAAAGTACGTCATTCCTTGGCGACGTGTGTTAAAAATAATGTGGGATTAGGAGATAATAAGTTACAAAAATCAAAGAAGCAATTTAAATCAGTATTTAGATAGAGAAAGGGAGCTAGATATGAAATATCGTTTTGTTTTTGTACATATTAAATTCAGAATATCTTCTTAACACCCCCTTCTGTTTTGTGTATATTCTTTACATCTTGGAAATTCATAATTTCTTATTCATAATATTAAATCTATTATACGGGAGTCACAGAAAAATATCCTATAGAAAATTGTATTTTATACCTAATACGGAATATGTCTCTAATATAGAACATAGATTCAAGGAAAAATAAAACAGGACCTTTACACAAAACGTTTTATTACTTTCTGCTATATGAAAAAACAAATCAGTTAACATAAGAGAATTGCATCGCATATATCAGGAAAACGTATTTTAACTCCTTTACAAAACTTTCTGTCCCTAAACAGTTAACGTGGCACCAATCTAAACATTTCTTGTAGTGTATCCACTGTTCCACTGTCGATTGCATTAGAAACAGGTGGACAATCATTTATTTGTGAGTTCCAAATTGCAGACACCATACCATTCCATATTAGGTACATCGCGATTTTCATTTTTGTTAACAGATTTAAACATTGCCCCCAACAATATTTTAGGAACATATTTCATATTTGGCTATACTCCTCTACATTTAATTTTCTTTTCCTTGAAAATAAAAGTAAATTTTTATTTTAATAATATGTTTGCGACAATAATTTCAAAATTATCTACTTGCCAAATATATAATTGACCTTTTTGAATTTGAATTAATGAGGTGCGCAATTAAACTAATATAAATATCCAATTGTACATAAATGCATCGTTGACTAATATTCGTAAATAGCCGACGTATTAGTCTAACATGTCGAGATTTTACGAGGCTGTTGTTCTCGATACCGAACTGATACGAGTATCTAACGTGTCGACGGTTTACGAATATGCCACCCGGACACCTGGTGCGACCAAAACTGGACGTGTTTTTGGCGCTGAGTTTCTCTCCTTTCCTGCGTGAATTTTGGTAGACTCCCACAGAGATGACCAGGTTCTGGTGCACCAGGTATTGGGGGGTCGTTTTCGACAGGAAAACCCCTCATAACGATTTTCAGTTCGTCTTTTTCGATTGTGTAGCGAAAACCAACGAAGATATCAGGTCCGCGTCCAGGTTCCGGCACACCAGGTGTCCAGGGGGTGTTCGCCGATGCCACATTTGAATTCAGCACCCCAAAAAACCCCCATAAGGATTTTCGGTTCATGTTTTTCGAGTGTGTGAGGAGAACTCACGGAGATTAGGTCCGCTTCTAGGGTCAGGTGCACCAGGTGTTCAGAGGGTCGTTTTTGACGTAAAATTTGGATTCAGCGCCCCAAAAAATGCCCTCACAATGATTTTCGGATTGTTTTTGGCGATCTTGTCAGGAAAATTCTCGTAGATGACGTCCACGTCCAAGTTCCGGCACACCAGGTATCCGGGGGTGTTCGCCGATGTTATATTTGAATTCAGCGACCAGGGCGCCGAGTTTTTCTCCTTCCCCGTCTGAATTTGTGGAAAGTCCCACGGAGATGACGTTCATCGGAGTTCCTGAGCTCCAGGTCGGATGTGGGTCAATTTGAACATCATAATCGTGATCAACGACCTCGAAAACCCCTGGAAACCCGATTTGGGCCAGTTCTAACTCTTATTTACAAAGTTCTTTATTCTTCCAAAAACCGTCTCAAAAAATGCATTGTTTGAATGCATTTTTGTCTGCATCAATGCAATTTCCGGTTTGTATAAGATAAAAAGTAGGGACACTTTTTGCCAAAAAATTTTTGGAAGCGAATGCAAAAAACCGCATTCCGATCCGTCTTAGTCTAAAAAATTCCGAACTTTTGGCCTTTTTAATACTTCATTGCCTAGACCAGTGCTCCGCAACCTTTCCTCATCTGAGGCACACCAAACTGCTCCCTAGAATTTCGTGGCACACCAAAATCTAAAATATATTTATAGCAGTGGCGTAGCTAGGTCGGGGGTCAGTTCACTCCATGTATACTAATTATTTATGGATGTCCAAACTACCTTAGTTTTTTTTATTGTTTTAAAATGTGAAGAAGCCCCTTTCAGATTTGGGGCATCAAAATTTTCACTCAGGACATAATACATATTTTTTTTTTATTTTTTTTTATTATTCAGATAGAATGAAAAATACAAATAGGTACATACATGAGAACTATACTAAATACTAGGTAGGACAGGTAGGTATACTAAATTTACTTCTGTTGACACGTCAATAGTAATAAATATTTTGACATGATGATGACTGATTAATGTGATACCTGCGCTTGCTTCGTTGAACACAAAAGTTTTATATTCGGCTCAATTTTAGACAGCGCAACTCTCATTTCTTGGTCAAGATCTTTTAAGCATGACCGTTTATCATTTTTAATTAATACAAGCGTTGAAAAACTTTGCTCACATAAATATGTTGTGGAAAACGGAAGTAGTGTGAAGATGGCCTTGTCGGTGATGCGTGGATATTCTGTCT